TTAAAGCCTGAAAATGGTTAGTGTGGTGGAATCATCATCAGAACCACAAGGGGCATCTTTCTGACCTTTAACCCCTAAAATATCCAGATTAAGTCCCAAATTTCTGCTTCGGTTTGACGTTTTTGAATCTCAGCCTGAAGCTGATCTTATCTGAACCTCTGGCCCCCGGTTTTGGCTTCAGTTCCTCTCTGTTCTCCTCCCTTTTCTGTTTTTCTGTGATGGCTCAGACCCCATCTGAGTGTGTTTTTAGTGTTTTCTAACTCTGCCTCAGGCTGCTTCTGCTGCGCGATGGAGACCGGCGTCCGGATTTACAACGTGGAGCCTCTGATGGAGAAGGGACATCTGGGTGAGTCTGCTTCCTGCCTCCAGTCTGCTGCTCTCCCCTTCTGACGGACAAAACCTGAATTTTCTCAATTATTTAACATAGATTATGTAGTTAAACTCATACTTGAACTGTTTTGGGTCCTTTTTAAGGAACATGTTCAAGAATTTAGGTCACATTGTTTCATCAGTCTTTATATTTTTAAGAATCTGATCAATATTTTTAAAAATATTGTGTTTTATGAGGAAAGATCAACTCTTTTTTCCAAATAAGTAGTAGAGTCTGACAAATATGAAGTTAAAAAGTACTATATTTAGATGAGTAAAATTCAGAGATTTGTTTAAGTTTATTCACATCATTTTAAACATTTTCAAACTTTTAATCCCAATGTGGGTTTTTAATATTTTCTCAACTTTTTTCTGATCTTTTTCTAAATTCCTTTAACATTTATAGATTTTCTCTCATGATTTCCTTGTTATATCTAGTTTATAAATTATTCTTGACTATTTTTAAGCATAACCTGAAATATTTTGGTGGGTTATTTATGAAGTTTTGTTTGATTAAACTGATATCAGACACTTCAATGCTGTTTTTCTACCGTTGTTTAAAAAATTTACTTTTTTCAAACGTTATTCCCTGTAATTCATTTTTAAACCTTATTAATTTGATTAACTCATTGACTGCCAGAGTTTTTTGAGCATTTTGACTGATTTTTCAAGAGCCACAGAATAGTTTGTGCTATGACTATGTAAACACCGAACACACCAAAAGAAAGAGTAGACTCTCTTCTTTCATCAGGAAAAAAAATGTGTTTCTACCTTATTCCGTTCTTCCTGGACTTGCGTCTCACCGGCGACATGTTCTCTCATAGAACCGTTCCCTTTTTCTTATTTGCCTACAGTCTATGCTCATCTCCCATCAAAAGTGGCACTGCCCCCTAGAGGGTCAATTTGTTACTACATACTCTGTCTAGAAGCCGTTATTTACGGACAAGCTTTAGCAGATCGTCCCCCAGACACTCTCGCTGAAAAAATAAAAGACCTTTATAGACGTCTTTGGCAGCCAATGAGTTAATACTTTATTGCTGTTGTGCAGATTTATTCCTCGGCTTACTTTTAATCCGTTTACACCCGATTTTCAGCGTGTAACTAGTCCTGCAAGCTTCCATGGATCAGGCCCAAAATCCCTATGTGTGTCAGACCCGACCACGGGACGCATGCTTGTATGCAACTTTCTTATTAGTCTGGGCGTTTTCGAATAATTGGCAAAAAAGGGTGAAACGCCGTCCCATAGGAAATTAATGGGAAGGCCAAAAATGGCCCAAAACCCGGCCCACCTCCGGGCCTAACCGCTCAGCCCCACGACCTCCCAGAAACCTCATACCAGCATTGAACGGGTCACAAAAAATGGCCGTCCTCCTTGTTTCTTCAACAGAGTGAGAACCATAACTAGTTTTTAACCAACAAAGTGAGGTCTTTTTTGGAAAGTGGGAACATTTTCCTGGTCCTCACTTTATTGTGTGTGCGTGTATATATGTGTGTGTGTGTGTGTGTGAGTGTGACACCTAGTGAGAACATTTGAAAACTCAATCTTTCTAAGACACTCAGAACTACTGGTCCATTTCCTTGGTCCTCAGTCTGAGGTACTTACAAGAATGTGTGTGTGCGTGTGTGTGTTTGCGTGTGTGTGTGTGTCTGTGTGTGTGTGTGACACCTAGTGAGAACATTTGAAAACTCAATCTTTCTAAGACGCTCAGAACTACTGGTCCTCAGTCTGTGAGTCCTTTTTCTTGGTCCTCAGTCTGAGGTACTTACAAGAATGTGTGTGTGTGTGATTTTCGGGCCGTTCAGAAGAAGTGGGGTCTTGGATTGTGACTGCGTCCTGTGCTCTGTAGGCAGTTCTGTATCGAGGAGCTGGAGCACAGCCGGGACTTCTTCAACAACCAGAACCGGCTGCTGAGGCTGCTGCTGTCCATGTTCACGCTGCTGTCGGCCAACTCCGAGCTGGTCTGCTACCTCATCATCGTGCTGAACAACGTGGTCAGTGCCTCGGTCATTTCGCTGGTCCTGCCCATGCTGGTGTTCCTATGGGCCATGCTGGCTGTTCCGAGGCCCACCAAGAGGTTCTGGATGACTGCCATCGTGTACACAGAGGTATGAGCACTGGGCCCAGGACGCGTCCTGAAGGGCTTCATGACTTTAGTGCAGTGTTTTTCAACCTTTTTTGAGCCAAGGTACATTTTTTAATTGAAAAAATCTCGAGGCACACCACCAACCAAAAATGTTAAACAAATCTGTAGCCGCCTATAGTAACACTATAGGTATTCTTATCTTATTCTTATCTTAAGTGTCTTGAATAGGAATCAAATAAACACAAAAATGTATTTTCATTATATTTTATATTTCTTCTCTCAAATTGCTCTAAACATGTCCACTTCAATTGGCAAAATCAAATACAAAATCTAGCCATAAGGAATTATTACATAGTCCATCAGTAGCTGCTAGTACTGCTGTACACAGAACATAAGTGTTAAAGTATTGCCGGCCGAGGCAGATGGCCGCCCACCCTGAGCCATGGTTCTGCTCCAGGTTTCTGCCTGTTAAAGCAAGTTTTTCCTTGCCTGTGTCGCCTAGTGCTGCTCATGGTGGGAATTGTTGGGTTTCTGTAATTAACTTCAGAGTAGGTCTGACCTGCTCTGTTTGGAAAGCTGTGAGACAACTGTTGTTGTGATGTGGAGCTATAGAAATAACATTGAATTGATTTAAATTTAGGAGTTGATATCCTCTGCACACCATTTGCCTCTGACCTTTTCAGTGTGTTGTAGATATTGAGCTATTCATGCCTACAAAGCTTCAGAAGTAAACAAAGGCAGCACTGGCTGAACTCAGAATATTGTGAAACCGTAATATTAAACAGTGAAAACATCATCATGAATTTATGAGGATGTAAAAAGTGGACATGTCCAGGCCAAAGAGGACGTTTGGTCAGCCTACTTCAGACAATGCGCTGTGTGTTCATTTGTCCATTTAAAACCAAAGGTTTCCTAACAGTCCAGTGACCGGTGTGCTGCTCTGCTCTGTTTCAGGTGATGGTGGTGGTCAAATACGTTTTCCAGTTTGGATTCTTTCCCTGGAACAGTGTTTATGAGATGACCTTAAATGAAGACAAGCCTTTCTTCCCACCGAGGATCTTTGGCCTGGAGAAGACCGACAACTACAT